TCCAAGGAGCACCTGATGGATTCGGACTGCTGAGCTTTTGGTTAGCAGCCATACTCTTAACTACTATGCTGTCAGGGTTTCCATACTACACAATAGTATATAATTATTATTGTTTAGTGCATATCCACCACCCATCTGTCAGTTTATCATACTATGGTGGCTTGTGTGTTGCTATGATGCTGGAAGTTATGCCACTGGTATTACAAATACTGGCAGGGTCACCCATGGTGGACAGATTTCAGTGGAGCTTCCAGACTAAGAGAGACTAGGAAGAAAGGCCTGGTGATCTACCTCTGAAAATTAACCATTGAAAACCCTGTGGATCACAACAGGATGTTGTCCCATGTAGTGCTGGAAGATGAGCCCCCTAGATGGGAAAACACTAAAAATACACAATAGCTGCAAGAATGCAGTCAGACATACCAGTAATCATGAAGATGGCACAGGAATGGGCAACATTTCATTTTGTTATACATAACGTCACCATGAGTTGGAACTGACTTGATGGCAACTAACTAAAACAACAGCAGTGTATGATACATATTATGTATAATACATATTATTTATAATAAAAAAGTATATTATACATAATATAAATAAAAATAAAGTAGAAAAAATCAGTACAAATGTGTCTATTTATTCATCATATACTTATTGAATAGATTCTGAATGAGCACTGAGAAAGGCTTTATGGATAGAGTGGTAAACTCAACTCAGTCTCTCTTCACATGGAGCTCATACATTAAACAAGTAATTATCACAAAGAACGATGTATCTTAGCAAAGGCAGGGTCACTTGGAAAGGTAAGGAGCTTTCCAATCAGTTCAAATTTGACATGAACATTTCTGAAATATGAAAGTGGGATTAATAGAAAAATGTAACATGAGCAAATATTAGGGTCCAGAAAGCAAAAGAACAAATTGAGACTTATGAAATATTCCAAGACAATGGTAAAGGAATCTTGGTCATGTTGAGAGCAGGAAAATGAATATTGAAGGAGTCGCTATGCTACTTGCACAAGATAGTAGAATGTTGAAATGGCAGAACTGTTCAACTAATTGCACTGATCTCTGTCAAAGAGAATCAATGGGCTAGAAAGGGGTTGACATGTTACTGAAGTCTAAGGTAGGACAGAAGTTGCAAAGAATTTACTTGAAATGATTTCTCTAAGAAAACACACCAATCACACCATAGGGTCAAACTCTATGTGATCATTAAGGAACTGTGAAGAAAGGACAAAGTATTAGATAAGAATGTGGTCATCTATCAATCATTAATTTGTTTTGTCATCTTTTAAAAGACTTTTTTTTAGCAATTTCTGTATGTTAGACATCGTGCTAGGCAGTAATGATACAAAGGTTAAAAAATAAAAGACCTGAACCCTGACCTCACAAAAGTTCACACTCTGTTTTAAGGGCATGTGAACAATTACAGCAGAATGTGATAAGTTCAATAAGAGAAGTGAGCATAAGACTATCCAGAAAATTAAAGTAATTAACTCTTCTGGTAGAGATGAGGAAGATGTCAAAAAGAAAAGGATACTTTAATGAAGTCTGATTTTTGTTGTTAATTCAAGAACAAATAGTCTATTGGGCAATAATATTTGCAGGTACATTTAAAGGCATCTGACCGTTTTTAAAATATTTTAGTAATAAGATAGAAAAATGAGTCAGATGATGTACAAAAGTAGATTTATAGCAGACTGTATAACAAAGTATAAATAGTTTCAAGTGATTGCCAAGCAACCTTTACTTGTCTGTTATAAGGCTCTGTACTTGACCCTGACCCATTAAGTCCTTCATCCATGACTTAGATGAAGACATAATTCATATATTTGGAAATTATAACAAAGCTGGGAAAGTGGTTAAAACCTTGCCTGCAGAATAAAAAAATAGCAAATGGTTACTATGGAAAGAAATAAGTCAAATCTAATAAGATAAATATAATTATTATCAATAATAATTGTAAATTCATATTAAAATACATTAAATAAATACAGGATTTTGGAGACCTTCAATGACATCAGAGCAATTACGATACGATGTGATATAGACGCAGAAACAGTTAATGAACATTTAACGCTTATGTGATATTAACAGAAGTGTCAGGTCATAGCAACAGCAGTAACTAGCAATTGTCTCACCATACCCTGCCCTGACTAAACTCAGTGTGTCTAGCTCTGAGTGTTATGGGCATGATTTTCTGGAGGGTTATTTTGGCAGGGATTGGAGACCAGAGATACCTACAATAGCGAGGAAGGCAAAGAAACGAACTTAAACACAAGCAGCAGAAGTAGGTGCAGACAAGTAGATGAGGCATCATGGACGGATTATCAGTAGGCAACATGAGAAATGTCTGTCCTGGAAGACACCCAGTGCAGAGTCTCAGCAAGAGTTGGCTACTACAGCAATAAGAGAGGGTGCAGGCTGCTAACCAGGCTTAAGTGGACCTCTCTTCCATATGAAGAACTCCACAAAGGAATTGGAATAAAGGGCAAGACAGTAGTCTGAAAGGACTCAAAGAAGGAAAGCAAGGCAAGACCCCAGTCCTGACAGTATGGAACACAGGAGATAAGGAGGAGAAAAATGGAATATTTGTCCGGGACACTAAAGAGAAGGCAAAAGGCTTTGATCTGTAGAATTAGACAACCAATAGCGATGCAGAGATTAAAATTATTTCTAGAGTTTCTTAAATTCCTCCTGCCTGGTACAGGCTTGATCCCTGATTCAGGGGCAGGACTGAGTCTACAGGTGAGAGTGGCATTTTCCCACCTTGGAAAATTAAAATTATAGAGTTGATCATATTACATAAACTATTTAGTGTTCCCAACTTCACTGCACAATTGATGTATTCATTCCTAATTAAACACAATCATCTGAGTTGATCACTGTGCTAGATTCAGAGAAAGTGAAAGTAGTAATAAAGCCAGTGCTTTGACATGAAGAACTCATACTTTTGTAGGTAATAAAGAATCACTGAAGTTTTTTAAGTTAGCAAGTAATGAGCTAGGTTTTAGAATAACTATTCATATAGTTGGGGGAAGAAATGATTTTAAGGAGATGTGGGCCAGTTTGAAACATTTGTTAAAGGTATTACATACATGTACTATTTCTCACACATTTCTTAACCAGAAGACTAGTTTGTAGACTATAGAAGAGAATGTATTGAAATAATTCAAATTTTTTTAAATTGCCTAAAACCCATTAAACCAAACCCATTGCCATCCAGTCATAGCAACACTTCAGGACAGAGTAGAACTGCCCCACAGAGTTTCCAAAGAGCGGCTGGTGGATTCAAACTGGCAACCTTTTGATTAGCAGCCGAGCTCTTAACCATTGCACCAGGAGGGCGTCTTAATTGCATAAGCAATATATTAGTATATTTTCTTTACAAAAATTCTAATAATACAGACATGTTGTTTGGTCACGTTTTTATGTGAATTTAAATTATGAAAATATAAAATAAAACGTATATACACTATTACAGATCTCATTTCAGGAGCAAAATATTAAAGCAAATCCCTCGAATTAAAAAACATCAACAGTCACGTAATCTGAAATAAATGAATAAACTGTTTACACTATTGCCACAAGGTGGCGCCATGGCGGTAAATGTGGCCGGTAGTGTCCAAGTATTCTTCCAACCTTGTTCTCAACATTTACGTAATTATCTATTATGCTTATAATCATATTCAGAGTTTGAGGTTTTCTAAATAAATGAAATTAGTCTATAAAGAACTATGAACTGTAACTTGCTGTCTTCAGTTAACCAAATGTATTGAGATTCTACTTCATTGTTTAATTGCTGTCTAATATTCCTTCCTGGGAACATGGTGATTTATTTAACAAGTTCCACACCAATGGTCATTTCAGTGTATTTCAATTTTTCACTAACAAAATGATGTCATAAAGAACATCGTTGGACAGTTGTCTTTTGCACCTGGGCAAATGTGTTTGGAGTATAAATGCTAACAGGAGGAATTTTGGGCTCAAAGCAAATAAAACTTTTTAATTCTGACAAATATGATCAAATTGTGCTAACAACTTAAGCCCTAACCAACATTATATGAGCATGTCCACTTTCCTGCATATCTCCATCACTGAATATTTTCTTTTTAAATTTTGCCACCAATGTCAAAATGATACGTTGTTTTATTTTACTATTTCTTAATTAGCAGTGAGGTTAAATATATTCAAAAATTTTAGAGAGCATCAGTATATATTTGTTCAGTAACTTGTCTGCTCATTGTCTCTGCCAATTTTTTTAGGGGAATGTTATTTTTCCTTTGAATTAACCAGAACTCTTCATGTTTTACGGATTGTTATGTCTTTTCATAACCTCTTCTTCTAATCTGTCATTTACGGTTGAATTTTGAGAATGATGACTTTAAAGGCACATGAGTCTTAATTTTAGATGGTCGACTTTAAGAATATTTTCTCTTAATGGCTTCTGTTTTTTGTTTTGTATTGTTTTGTTTTGCTTTGAAGGAGCTCCCCAAGATTTTAAATCCCTATCAAGTTATTCTCCATTGATTGTAACACAACCATTGGGGTGTACCTTTTTTTTTACATTTAGTATTTTTGTACACATAGAATTTATGTTTTGTATATCTATACAACTATCTTATTTCCATTTATTAAATACACATTTTTTTCTTCATTGTATCTTAAATATTACCTTTATCATGTACTAGTCCTGAATATGCATGATTCTGTGTCTAGATATTCTTTTTTGTTCTACAGTTGAACAAAATCTAAACATTCTCATACAAATAAATGCAATGAATCAGAGAATTATCCCCCAGAATGGAAATGGGGCTCACAGAACTAATGGATTTGTGTGCGGTCCTGTGACATCATAGGCACGTGACCTGGACCTGGAAACCCATTTATCTGATTTCCTATTCAGTATTCTTCCCCTTCTGCTGCAAACTATGATTTGAGAACAACGAGAAAATAGGTCATTTTACCCTCTCTTATCTTGATTCTTTTCAGAAACAGAGGAGTATTCAGGCTGTAGCCGGTCCCCATGCCAGAATGGGGGCACGTGTATAAATGGAAGAACCAGCTTTACCTGTGCTTGCCGACATCCTTTTGCCGGTGAAAACTGCACTGTAAAGCTGGTGGAAGAAAATGCTTTAGCTCCAGGTAAGAAAAGCACATGCATGCTTGGATTTGCACAATGTCATAAACAGGAATTTTTTTGGAAAATATATATCAGTGAATATTTAAGTCTGCTTAATCTAGATTCACTTAAAGGTTACTTCGTTTTACTTCTGAAATTTACTGAATAATATAAAATGTCCATTTACGAATTGAAATGTGTTTTTGTCAGGTAAATTCATGTTTACATACACTTGTTGAAATTTTTAATGCTAATATAATAAAGGCAGTTTATTGAAAATCCTACCCCTACCACTTTTTTTTTTTTTTGCTTGTGCATCTTAAAAGAAAATAAAAAGCCACTGCCGTCAAGTCATTTCTGACTCACGGCAACTCTATAGGTTGGAGGAGAATTTCCTTGTGAGTTCCCGAGGCTGTAGTCCTTACTAAAGCAGACTGACACATCTTTCTCCTGTGGACTGGCTGGTGGATCTGAACCACCAACCTTTCGATTAGCGACCAAGCACTTAACCACGGCACCACCAGGACTCCTTTTGAAAGAAAATACAGATGTATATATCAAGAAAACACAGATGTATATATCTGACTTCTATAAACTCTCGTTAGACAGGTTGTTAAAGAAATACACCTTTGATTCATGTTAGATATGGACATTTAAATGAGGCTTCAGTATGTGCTTAGCAGCATCTCTTCCATGAATGTTAAGCTAATACTGCCATTTTTCCTGGGTTAGGGATGTCAGAACATACTCAAAAAAGGCACTTTGTTCTACTCAGTATGTATGTCCATTTAGCTTTATAAGTATTGGTTGCTTTAGATTTATTTCAAGAGTGCACCATTCCCTGGTGTAATCATTTGGAAAGGGATAGGGAGAGCGGTTGTATAACTTGAAGTATGTAATCAATGTCACTGAATTATACATGTAGAAATTGTTGAATTGGGAAATGTTTTGTTGTGTATATTTTCACCACAATAATAGAAAAGAAGCCTGCACCATTTCTGATTTTTATACAAGAAAATGTGTGTAGCTTTTAAAATATGTTATATGTAATGACAGCAAAAAACATACTTGAAATCAGTCTTTTCTTAATAATACGCTGCATAGTGAAGAATAACGTTTTTAAGTTTATTTTTAAATCTCAGGCTTTGTAAGTACATTTGGCATTAATTACACAGGAAATTGCTTTTGTCTACTTCTTTATAGTGCATATGACTTCATTTGGTTTCCATTTTAGCCTCTAGAAACTGTTTGACAAGATGCTGGGAAAATCGTTTCTACATCATGTCAGCTTCAATTCCTGCAAGGGGCTTTAAAACATTCTGGCATACCATAATAATCCTAATGCGTTAGAATTCCTTTAGCTCTGAGGAGATCAAAGACACACGAAATTAATCTTTGAGGCATTTCTTTGAGGGAGGTATCCAGTGTTATTTTCATTCTCTCCTGGAGAAAGTGAGACTCCACGAGGTTAAGCGACTTAGGATAACTCAGCCAAGAGAAGAGGCAGACATCCAGACACATACATCCTTGTTAAATCAGATGGATGACCTTTTTTTTTCTGGTAACATTTTCTGTAACTGAGGTAGAAAGATAAAGATATGAGGAAAGATAAAATAAGAGAAAGAACATGAGCATTAACTCTTTTCATTTTATTTCTATAACAGATTTTTCCAAAGGATCTTACAGATATGCACCGATGGTGGCATTTTTTGCATCTCATACATATGGAATGACTACACCTGGTCCTATCCTGTTTAATCACTTGGATGTCAATTATGGGGCTTCATATACTCCAACAACTGGGAAATTCAGAATTCCATATCTTGGCGTGTATGTTTTCAAGTATACCATTGAATCATTTAGTGCTCATGTCTCTGGGTTTTTAGTGGTTGATGGAATAGATAAGCTTACGTTTGAGTCTGAAAATATTAAAAGTCAAGTACACTGTGATAGGGTTTTGACTGGGGATGCCTTATTAGAATTAAATTTCGGTCAAGAAGTGTGGTTGCGACTTGTGAAAGGAACAATTCCAGCCAAATTCCCCCCCGTTACTACATTTACTGGTTACTTGTTATATCGTACATAAGTAAGTTAGTATGAAAGACAGACTATCACCTTTACTGAGAAGCTGCCAGTGTTTTTATTTACCTTTGCATGCACATCTGCTCTGTTTTGAGTTTTCTACACAAAATTAAAATCAACTTCTTTTTTAGTCTGAGTAAAGCTGTAAGTTTGTTTGTTCAAATAAAATTATTTGAGTATCTTTATATAGTCCATATATGATAGAGTTCTTCTCGCACCTAAAGAGATTTCATGGCACAGAAAACAAAGTTCATTTATACCATAACTGTTCTTCTTTTTTCACTTTAAGTCATCTCAGTGTGAAGTAATCTTAGAAAATGACGATCATACAATATTGTCAGTCATAGTAGTCTTTCCAATAAAACATTTAACTTTTGTTATTCCCTGTATATATAAATAGATAACACACATTTCCTAAACCTACAAATTAAAATAAATTACTTGAAGACTAAGCAGTGGGATTTTAAAAACTTTAATTTTTGTTTCCTTATTGTTGAGTTGATATTTTAAATGATAAATTTTTATAGATTAAAATTATCATTTGTAATCAAAATTAAGAAAGTTGAGTTCGAAATTTGAAATATGCTTAAGTCTTTTATTTTCTCTTCCTGTAATTATCAAATAAAGTAGTAATGGACAAATGTTTGAACATTTTCATCCAAGTCCAAGGATACATAATTGAATCATTTACTTGTCCCCATTTTGCAAATTCTACAGGGGAAAACATAAAATCTTTCTCTAGTGATTATCCTTCCACTGCCGTACATGCTGATTAGCCCCTATTCTTACAAAGGGTACAAAATATTCCATGGTAATTCTAAGATTTATCAGTTGCTCATTATGACCTGTGTTTTTCTAAACAAATTACATGTAATAGCTCTTTTATTCCTCACAAAAACCCTTATAAGGTAGGTACTATTATTATGCCCATTTGTACAGTTGAAAAAACTGAGACACACAGAGAGGTTAAGGAATGTGACCAAGGTCCACAGCTAATAAGCACAGGGGCAGGACTGGGAATTGGCTCATCTTTTCTCTTTATATTGCTCCCATAGATGGACCCAAATGTATCCAACAAATCTATTATCAATGGACATTTACGTTGTTTTCAATTTTTTTATGATAAGAAATATTGTTGTAATGAACATCCTTAAACATACATTCTTTACATATTTGACAAAGTATCTGTAAAGAATCTATTCCTATAACTAACAATAAAATAATAATGAAATTTGGGAGTCTTTCAGTATGGCAAGCATTTTCCATGAATTAGCTTATTTAATGCTCACTGTAACACTACAAGAGCCCTCGTGGCACAGTGGTTAAGAGCTACAGCTGCTAACCAAAGGTCGGCAATTCAAATCCACCAGCCACTCCTTGGAGTGTTCTGCTCTGTCCTATAGGGTTGCTATGAGTTGGAACTGACTCAACAGCAGTGGGTAATGGGTAAAACCCTACAAATTAAGTATTGTTATCATTCTCTTTCCATCCATGAGAAACAGAGGCACATAGAAAGCAAGTATTTTCCAAGTATCACAGTAAATTATAAATAATTTCTGGAACAAAGAATAAACTTTTTTTTTGATAGGTTGTATGAAATTGCCTTTAAAAAGATTTGTACCAATTCAAAGTCTCTTCAAGTAAAAGAGTGCTCTTTAACATCCTCACCAAAACTTACAATTTTAAAATATGGTCCATCTTGAAGGTAAAAACAGTATCTCCTTGTAGTAGACCAGATTTTTCAAAAACTTGCCAAAACCTGAAAACATATATCCATACAAAGACTTGTTCATGAATGTTCACAGTAGCTTTTTCTTAACTGCCAAAAACTGAGAACAACTCACATGTCCATCAACAGATGAATGGTTCTACATACTCTGGTATACCCAGATAATAGAATACCAGTAAGCAATAAAAAGGAATGAACATGTGTGTATGAATCTCATAATAATTTTGCAGGAGCAGATTTCAAACTGCAGCTATATAGGCCTGCCAAAACTTCGGCCAACTCTGCAGAGAACTCTGAAGTGAGTATTATTTATTGTAATGGTCCATGTGAGAAAAATTAGCCAGGTTTTCACACGCCAACTTCACTCATTACTAGATCCAGGCTGCCAGGGAAGAGTATGACCTCGGAGCTGATAACTAGATAGAAATGACTGACAATTTCTATCCTGTTACATGTAAATATGTTGTTTTCAAAAACATTTGCAAACTTTTGATATTTTCTTCAAGTTCTGCCTAAATATTGCACCATAACCTAAAATGTTTTTCTTTTTATTGCATCAAGCACTCAGACTAAACAGAATTTTTGCTTCCCACATGTACTTTCAACATAGATTTCAGTGATTGAAATGTACTCCTTATTTTTAATATTAGCAGAAAAGAAGAAAGTTAAATCATTTGACAATACTTACCATTGCCATGCATGATTTAATTTATTGATTTTGTAACTGGATAATTAAGATCATTTAGGATTAAATGATGCTTTGGTGTTTGTAATTTTAATTAATATTATTCTTTATATGAATACATATTTATAGAAATACACAATTAAATAACAAATTGCCACCAATAACCAAGAGGCATTTTTGTACCTTTTAACTTGCTGATCTTGTTTTGCTCTTTTTAAGAAAGTCACCCGACATAATGTAAGACAATTAAGTTAGTAGTGTATTTCTAATAGTTGTTATCATATTTGCTATTGTTGTTGTTAGGTGCCATTTCCGACTCATAGAGACTGTATGTACAACCGAAGAAACACAGCATGGTCCTGTGCATCTTTTTTCTTTATTTCTTCCTTGCGACAGAGACTGTTGTGGATATTATTATTTTACAGTGAATTCCAGAGCCCTTTTCTCTCACCAGACTTTCCTTCTGAGCAAGTTCCCAAAGCATGCCAACGGTCTAATTACTGATGACAATCTCATATTCGTTCACTTTTCAATTATTTAATAAATATTTTGTGATAGGTATGATAAATCATATATAACAAATACTATAAAAATATATATCAAGTAAATCAGTACAGACAAATGCTGCGTTTGAAATAAATTTTCCAGAGTCATGCTGGCATTTACTACTGTCAAAATCATAGGTAGCTCTATCCAAAATCTCAAACAAAGCCCACTGCCATCGAGTCGATTCCAACTCCTAGTGACCCTATAGGACAGAGTAGAACTGCCCCGTGGAGTTTCCAAGGCTGTGATCTATACGGAAGCAGGCTGCCACATTTTTCCCCCACGGAGCAGCTGGTGGGTTCCAACCGCTGACCTTTCGGTTAGCAGCCAAGCCCTTAGCCACTGTCCCACCAGTGCTCATCAATAAAAGGGGGGAAATTTACCTATAATAATCATCTTCCTCCTTTTTCTGTGCTCAACTAAACTTTTATTACCTCCTTTGGATCACTCCTGGAATTGAGGAATTTTGTACTTAAAGCCACGTTTGCCGGAAATTGCTCTTCCTTACTCTCTTTTTCACCATTCAAAATTATCATTTTGGAGGAATGGGCTGATATCATTTAGACATTAAGAACTATTTTAAATAAGCCCTGTCAAATTTTGGTTGATGTGGAGGACCGGTTACCCCTCTTAAAGAGGATTTTTCTTTTTTCATCCATCTGTTT